GGTGTCCCCCTGCCCGAGTGACACCCGGCGTGGCTCAGTCCCAAGGAGTTCGTGTGGGAGAAGGAAGGAAGCCTCAAGCCCCTGCAGAAAGGCCCCAGCGACGTCCTCCTCATCCGCTCCTTCAACAAGACCCACTTGGGCACCTAATCTGCAGGGCCACTGGCTCCCTGGGCACCGCCGTGGCCACCTACAACCTGTGGATAGAGGGTAGGGAGGGGACCAAAGGGGTGGCTGGGGACAAGGGCTCGTCCTCACCACCCCATTCCACCCCATGCCACAGCCCGGGCGGTCTCGGTGGTGGGGGTCACCCCTGAGGCTGATGCTCCAGACTGGGGGTGGCCCCCTCGCTGCAGTCCCCTTTGAGGGGAGCCTGTCCGGATGCCGTCACCGTGGCAGGAGCAGCCACCTCTTCCTTGCCTCTTCCAGACCTGCAGTGGAAAGCGTTCATCTTTCCCCAAGAGACCAAAGGTTCCCTCGTCCTGGTGAGGGTGAAGCCAGCGCAGCCGCTGCTCAACTTCACCGTCTGCCTGTGCTCCTTCACCGACCTGAGCCACCCCTACAGCCTCTTCTCCTACGCCACCAAGGAGCAGAGCAAGGAGATCCTCCTCCACAAGCACAGACCCGGCGAGTACCACTTCTACGTGGGGGGCGAGTTCCTCACCTTCCACGTCCCCCTGAGCTTCGTGGAGAGCGAGCACGTCTGCGTCAGCTGGGAGTCCACCACCGGCATCGTGGGCTTCTGGTTCAACGGCAAGCCCTGGCCCCGCAAGGGGCTGCAGAAGGGCTACACGGTGGGGGCGAAGGGGGTCATCGTGCTGGGGCAGGAGCAGGAGCAGGAGCAGGAGCAGGGCAGCTTCGGCACCCAGTGGGCCTTCGCGGGGGAGATCTCGTCTGTGTACATGTGGGACGTGGGGATCATCACCAGGCAGGTGCATGAGGCCATGCAAGACCGCTTCGACGACGTCCCCCTCTTCGGCTGGACGAACTTCCCCTACAAGCTTGTGGGCGAGGTGTACCTGAAGCCGTGACGCC